GCTGCCTGGCTGTGCTCTGTCCCACAGTAAGAACAGACGCCAAGTGAGACCAGGGGGCGGGCTCCTGGAACCCTGGGGAAAGGCTCACAGCTGTAACTGTGGGGCTGGCAAGGGACGTGCTGTGTTCTGCAATGCTCAGCCGATGCAGCCCTGTCACCTCTGTCTGCTGCTCACACAGTGACAGGGAATCAAGCCCTGCAGGTCCATCTGGGATGCAGGTTTCTGGGCAGCAGAGGCCATGGACACAGGCACCATCATCCTCCCATAGAGACCCTGGAGCAGGCTTGTCAGGTGTTTTCAGGCTGGAGGTGCACAAGTTGTTGCAGGGTCCTTCACTGGCATCACAGCCCCTGTCCCTTTGCATACTGAATCCTGCCCAGATGTGATGCCCAATGCCAGCCTGTCGCTCCTGGAAGATTTTATTGCATTGGTCCACCCTCTTCTGCCTCCATGGGAAAACAGCAGAAGATGCTGTTTGGCACCTTCAGGCTATTCCCATCTCCCCCTCTGCACAGAGGCAAGAATCACCCTCTGTGCCTCACACCCCTGTCCCCACACCTGGGCACACTGGAGCTGATGAGGTCTGGTGAACAGGCAGTGGACTGGGTCTGCTAGGTCTCCCAGCAGCCTCCAGAACAGTGGGGTTGGGTCTGAGCACATGAGGCCCCCACAGTCTAGAAACCTCACATCCCTATGAGAGGAACAGCACTATTTCATGGCCCTGCTCAGTGACTGTCATTCACTCTTTCTGAAGTGCACTCCCTCCAAGTGTCCATTCATTTATTTACTGAACACACAGTGATGCTGCTGCTCTTGCTGGCGACAATGTGGCTGAGGCAGCCTGCTTTCAGGCTTGCATCTCTGGATACCTACCCCAGGCTGGGTACCTGCTGGGCCAGGCACAGTGCTGGGGCCTGCCTTCATGGAGCTCAGGCCAGGACAAGGCCAGGGACAAGGTCCTGGCCCATGTGCTGAGCACCATAATCATGCAGGGAGTAGAGGCAAGAACAGCAAGGCCTTGGAGGGCCTCTGGGGTCTATACCCCTATCCTCTCACACCTCCCCAACCACCCAGATGCTGCTAATCTAAATGGTCCCTTTCAGAAAAGCAGAGAAAATAGCTCCCTCCAGCCAAACACGCATGCACAGCCTGGTGAACACAGCGTTCTGCAGGAGTTCAAGTGCATCTGCTTCTGCTTCTGCCAGGTGTCACCCTCCCTCTCCCCCTTGGCCAGGCATCTTTACAGTCTGGGAGCAGCTCTCTAGGCCACATGGAACTGGTTCCCCTAAGATGGCAGAGCTTAGCCCAGTGAGGCTGCTAGGGGCGGGAGGTGAGGCCAGTAGGCACCTTCAGCCTGTGCTGCGGCTTCACAGAGAGCTGCGGCCATAAAGGACCAGGGTCTTTAGTGTTCTTCCATCGCTGAAAGAAGCAGGATGCTGTCAGCCACCATAAAAATGTGACCTTTGAAAAGTTACAAGAGCTTGGGTTTAAAAAGCTGCTGCGTTAATGATGCATCCCATTAGCATCTCATTAAAGAGAAGGCAAGAGAAGCCTGCTCAGGCCCAGTGATGGGCAGACAGGGCCGCTCTGCGGGCTGAGAAGGGGAGGCTCTCTTGGTCTGCCTCTCTCTGCCAAGTGCCATCATGTTGCTGGAGCAGAATCCATAGAAATATTGCAGAAAGGCCGAGAGTCTGGGTCTCTTCCTGAATGTCACAGATGATGGTGAAGGGAGGAGGCAGGTGAGGCTTAGCTCTGCCTTCCTCCCATTGGCCAGAGCTGTTTTTCTGGTTGGTTTGTGTGACTTTCTGGATAGACAGCCTGCTTTTGAACACTGGGCTGGGGGCAGGAAACTGGACTGCCAGTGAGGAGTCCCAGAGCCGTGGGCATCCTGGACTGTGGAAAGGCAGAGTTAGCTAGGGCTGGCTCAGAGCTAGTGCCACAGGCCATCCATGGTCCTAGAGCCCTCCAGAACCTGAGGCCTGGAGCCCTTGGAAGGAGGAAAGGCCTTGGTCAAGTCACCCACTTCACAGATCACTGGGAGTCTGGGGTCCTCAGCAAAGGCCACCTTTGCATCCAGCATTTTCCTAGAAGGAGCAGAGGAAGAAATGTTCATTAGTTTAATAAAACAAAATTTCTGAACTGTAAGTTGCTTGCAGCTTCAGACGTTGCAAGCACAGAGTAGAATATGAGTCTTATTTATCTCACCTACACAAACAGCAAAACAAAGACAGTTTTCCTTCTCATCGCAGAACTGCTTTTTTGTACGTAAGTAAGCATTTGTATTCATGAAGACACAGGCAAACAGCGGGCCTGGCGCAGTCCCCCTGTGTCTCTCCCCACAGTTCTGCATGTGCACGCCCCAGGCTCCACCACTGAGCTACATCACGCTTGTGCACCGAGTTTTCGCTGCACGGGAACAGCACTTGAGGGTAGGGTGAGCCTCAGCGCCCCATGTGCCCACTGCCCTGGCCAGTGTATGACATAGAACTCAAGCCCAACCTTGTTTGCCCAAGGAACAGGCTGAGGCCCAAGGGAGCAAGTTAACTGGAGTTTCAGAACCAAGGACCTGGGCTACATGCTTCACAAAAGTCTGTGATTTTTCAAGTGGAGAAACTTCCCTAATTTTAGGGCAAACATTGAAACTCCTAAAGGTTTAGAACACAGAACCTGGTGAGCCAGCCTCAAGGAGGAGACAGACTTCACCCACCTTTCCTGGCAGAGGATGACCCTTCCAGGGAAACTTTCCAGAAGGCTTCCCTCTCCTGCCAAGATGCCATGCTGAGCCAGCAAGGCAGAAATACATGGTAGGAGTGGGAGGAAAACCTGGGCTGCCTTGGGCCTGTGAGGCCTTGAAAAGCCAGGCAGCAGAGTGGAGGCTGCAGCGCCCCCTTCTGGCAGGAGGACTTTTCATGTTGTCAGCAAAGGGGGCTCCAATAAGGACACTGAGTCTCACTTTCCAGTTTGCCCCCAAACAGGGCGTAGATTGGGACACAGCCCAGAATCCTTCCTCCTGAGATGCTTCTGTTTTTCTGGAGATGTAATTTCTGTGTCTCTGAACCCAACCGGCCCCCAGACCTGGAAAGACAGAGGGGGCTACAGAGGGGTAAACGGCTTCTCTTTTCAGGCCAAGCACATGGTAAAAGCTATCTTGGGCCAGGGATATTGCTCAGTGGCACAAGCGCCTGCCTGGCAAGCACAAGGTCCTGAGTTCATTCCCTGGTACAAAAAAAAAAAAAAAAAGAAAGCTATCTATTTGAGAATCCTGGAGAAGCCTCACTGTTGTTCCCCAAAACTACTAGTGAGCCCAGTTAAATTTCCAGGCACCCCTTGTTCCCATCCGCCCCACAGACAGAAATGGGGTGGGAGTTCTGCTAAAGACCCTTGCAGATGGGATTGTTCTTTTCTCAAGAGCGTTCTCTTTCCCTTGGTCTCACGCTCTGCTCCCAAAAGCAGAGCATCTGAAACGTGGCCCAGAGATAAAGTGCAGCCCAGTGCAGTCAGCTGCACACTGCCTCAGGTTCTGCTCCTCCCGCAGGCCTGGCGCAGGCGCTGGTGTCACCTGCACGGGGCGGCAAAGCCCCAGAAGTGCTGCCCAGCCTGCTCAGCCACACATCCTCCTCCCGGCCTGGCCCAGGACCCAAGAGAAGGACTCTGGTTGGGATGGCCAGAGTTCTGCTTCCACCAGCTGTGTCACTGGGCCAGATGCTCTTAGCAGTCACCATGAGGATGGTGGCCCTCACTTGAGGCGTCTCTGCCATCTGTGCCTGTCCCTGGTGGGCAGCCATTTCTGCCCATTATCCCACCTTGCCTGGGTCAGCTCCTGGGAGCTGTAGCCACTCTTCCTGAAGACACTCCCCTCCCCTGAGGCCCATGCCCCTCACATCCTGGGTACCCCATCCCACCTTTCCAGTACATGTTCAGGAGGTTTTGTTTTGCTGCCTTACTATAAGTATGGTATAGTAGAAAATTTAGTAACTACTGAAAAGTGGAGGAGAACAGAAGTTACCCAAAATATGCTCACACAAGGATAATAACCCTGCTAACATCCTGGTAATTTCCTTCCTGCACATATTGTTTGCCATTGAGATGTTTACATAGGGAGGACCCCTGTGTCATTTTGTGGCTTTCCTCGTTAATCTTACAGCAGGAGTGTTTTGCCGTCCCATGAGGAACTTCTACTAAAGTGATTCTTAGTGCCTGTGTAGTATTTCATTGTGAGGCTGTAACTCAGGGAGGCCAGCAAGGTCCTGATGTTTGCTTTCACTCTAGGCTCCTGTTCCTATTAATCTGCAGATCTAAATGAAAGAGCGAGCTCTGGGAGCAGGACTCTGGGAGCAGCCCCCTTCTTGTCTGAGCAACCCAGGGTCCAATCCACTCAGGGTCGCCCCCGCCCAGGGACAGGTCTGAGCTCTTCACCCCACAGTCCTCAGCTCCCCCATCCTCTGTGAGAGATTCCAGCCTCAGCACCTGGTATGGGAGCAGGAAGAGGAGCAAGAAGGGGAGCAAGTAGCAACCCTCTCGTGACATCTCAGGGTAGCTAGCACCTTGCAAAGTAAGCATTTTGCCATCTCTTTAGGAATTTTAGTAAACAGCCGATGTCCACGGGCCAGGCTGGGTATGCAGCTGGTGCTCAGCACTTGCCCTGAATATATTGGCAGCACTTGTGTTTCAATGGTTTATTGATGCTCTGAGGGCTGGGGCTTCACGTGTCATACAGAGTACACAGCACTCGTGGTTGAGCTGGCTCAGGTGGAGTGGGGACTTCCGAGGTGCCAGGGAGAGGGGCACTGGCTCAGGTTCCTGTGGGCAGGAGCTCAGCAGTGTCACAGCTGCTGCTGTCTGCCTAGGTACCCTGCAATTCCCCAAGTGGCCTAGTTTCTGCCTCTGGTCCTGGCTCCAGTGGACGAAGCTTGGGCCTCAGGGGTGCTGTTGGGGAGACCAGGTCCCAGGGCGGGGGCCAAGGCCAGGCTGTGGTCACCATCCCCATCTGCTTCTCACAGGCTCCTGGCATCTCCAAATCGGACAATCAGTCCCAGGGACTGGCGACCAGCATCCGGTGGGGGCAGACGCCCATCAATCAGTCCACGCCCTGGGACACTGACGAGCCACCCTCTAAACAGATGAGGGAGAGCGACAATCCAGGTGGGTACTTCTTCCTTGAGCAGAGACACCTCACTGTTGAGCGCCAGACCTCTACAGCAGAAGCCTAGGCCTCAGGCTTGGGGTGGGGGTGAGACAGGGGCCCTGGTGTCATTCCCTGTGTAGTTGCTGTGTCTCTACTCCTTCCTCTGCTCTGCTACAAAGTATTGAAGGGTGAGGGTATGAGAGCGACATTATAGGACTGACTGAATCAGCTCCAGGCTATTTTAAATAATCATTCCCAAACAGCAGTACTGTACTAATTCATAACAACTTCTGCAAGCCACACCTCCTGGGGAAATCTGCCTGACCCATGGTTACATGGAAATGGGGATGCTGTACCCCAGAGCCTGGGCGATCCCCATCTCTAACAGCGTCTCAGTCCTCAGACCAGTCCCAGTGCCCCCTCCTTTCACCCACCAATGCCGTAGAGCACCCCACCTCCAGGCTATGAAGAATATACTTGGTCCTCCACGCCATAGCCCCCAAATACCTGGACACACCTTCCACCCCGCTCCAAGCCTCCTGCAGGATGAACACCTCCAGCCCCTCAGTCCTGTCCCAGAGCCTCTACTGTCCAGGTTCTTTGCCTTCTGGGCCCTTGCTCCACTCCCTGCCCCCCTTTGAAGTGCAAGGCCAGAATGCAACCCCTTGGGTGGTCTGATCAACACCTCCCTCCTCCAGGGCCTCTGCTCCGACCACTGCAGCTTAGACTGCAGATCACACACTGTCTCCAGAGAACTCCAAGATCATCCTGGAGAGGGCCCTGTCCACCTCCTCCCCATCAGGCTTCCCCTGGATCTCAGAGACTCCTGCTTCCACTGCTGCCCGTTCCCAGCCCTCCTCACACTGTGTCCCCTGCAGCCCCAGTCATGGCGGTGTTCGTGTCGTCCCTCAAATGGTGGTCAGGACCTGCTGCGCGTGACTAGAGGCCTCCCTTCAGGTCTCCAGTCCCCTTTGGGCATCCCCTTTGTCATAAATGGACCACTCCGGTGGCACTGCATGTCTGTGGTCCCCCACAGAAGTTTGGAGCCTCGCCAGCTGGACCCTGAATTTCTGAGGCATTTTTCCAGGCTCATTGGCTAGTGCTGGGAAGAACTGAGCTTCAGAGAACAGGCCGTGGCCTTGAGACACCTCAGCTGCCTTACAGTGTCAGCTTGGGGACAGTCCCCCTAGCAGCCCATTCCAGAACCCCGCCAGCGTGACTTCACCAGCGTTCATTGGTTTTGTTTTCCCCAACCTCTCTCATTACCAAACCATAACTACTCCTTGCACGTTTGTGACGCACCTCATCGGTGCTTGCAGCAGGCCCAGGATATGGGCGTGATCATGCCCGCCGCAGACAAGGACACTTGTGTCTCTAGAAAGGGGCAGAACCGGGACCCCGCGGTGACTCCGCAGCTCCACTTTGGACCACTGCGCTGATAGCGCCCCCTTGTGGGTTGAGAGTCACCCTGCCATCCCGGCAGCTGCTTTGCCATTTTCTGAGAGGGCGCTTCGGGCCTCCAAGGGCCCCAATTCCTGCCTCATTCTCCCCATCCTCAGTCTGCACTGCCACCCCAGAGCAATCACAAAAACCAAGGTAGCATCTGGGCAACGGAAACCTAGACCTGCACTCATTCAGCCCAAGGTGACCCAGACAGGCCTCCCGTCCCTGTCTTCCGGTGTCACTTGCACACCCCCACCCCCACCCCCGGTCACATCCACATCAGCTCTGTTTGGGTCCCCAGACTCTGCTGTCTGGGCACAGGGGCCTTTCCCCTTGCCTCACTTCTCAAGAGGTGTGTCTGGACTCCTGGCAGCCAAAGAGACGCTCTCTTGCTTCCCCTGGGGCTGGCCATGCAAAGGGAGCTCTCGGGGGGCGGTCATCGCGGCCTCACCAGCAAGCCTCTGCCTACCTTCCCACACGCCCCATCTCCCGGCCTGCCCCCACCCAGAACCACTTTGCCCTGCTGCAGGCTGGCGCACTCCCCGAGGGTCGGCAACCCCACCTCCACCTGGAGGCTCTCTCACCCGGGGGTGGGTGTTGCTGGTTGCATGAACAGATGAGAAGGCGGCTCAGAGAGCATCAGCACCTTTCCGGCGCGCAGCACAGATCAGAACTCAGGTCTCCTTGGAGATCTCTCTTTTCTCTCTGCTCTGTTGTTTCCCATCTCTTCCCGGTAGATTTGCTTCCTTTAAGCCCCACAGCTCTGTGTTCATACTCCCCTTGAAGCATTAGGTCTTCTTAGATAGATTCTTAAACTGTGAGTCCCTGGACAGAGGTGTCTCATCCACTGCAGTGACTGCAGCACCCAGCCCAGGGCCTGGGGGAGTTGCTGTTTGTTGAATGAATGTGTAACCGGCAAATAATATTTCTTCCATCTCCCTTGCAGGCACGGGGCCATGGGTGACCACAGTGGCCGCGGGGAGCCAGCCCGCCCTGATCGCACACTCCTATGGAGTGGCCCAGCCTCCCACCTTCAGCCCAGCTGTCAACGTCCAGGCCCCAGTCATTGGGGTGACCCCCTCACTGCCTCCCCACGTGGGGCCCCAGATCCCGCTGATGCCGGGCCACTACTCGCTCCCGCAGCCGCCCTCCCAGCCGCTGAGCAGCGTGGTGGTGAACATGCCTGCCCAGGCCCTGTATGCCAGCCCTCAGCCCCTGGCCGTGTCCGCGCTGCCCGGGGTGGGGCAGGTGGCCCGCCCAGGACCCACCGCCGTGGGCAACGGCCACATGGCGGCGCCCCTGCTGCCTCCACCGCCGCCAGCCCAGCCAGCAGCCACTCTCCCCAACAGCGCCCCTGCCACCAATGGGCCCCCGACAACCGACTCGGCCCACGGGCTGCAGATGCTGCGCACCATTGGCGTGGGGAAGTATGAGTTCACCGACCCGGGGCACCCCAAAGGTAAGTCCTGCGTCTGCACGCCTCCCTGTGAGCCTGCGACTGTGCCTCCCTGCCTGGCCACCCCGCGGAGCGAGGGCGGGTGGGAGGGTGCTCTGTGGTGGCTCCTTCCCTGGCCTCCTCTGACCTGGAGGCTGCGTCGGGGCCTCCCCCGCCCAGGAGAGACCAGCCTCAGACAGGCAAGGCCAGGCAGGGGCAGGTGTGCAGACAGGGGAGGGGCATCCACGTGGGCAAGGAGAGGAAGAGAGGAGGAAGGAAGGGAGAGCCTGCAAAGCCCAGAGCCCAGCCACGCTCAGCGCGGGCCTCCAGCCAGGCCAAAGTGCAGATTAAACAGGACTCCTCCCCTCCTCTAAGGGCTCCCTGGAACAGTGCTTAGGGGGCCTTCTCCATTTTCCATCCCTGAGGACAATGAGAACACCAACCATCCGTGTCCCTCCAGGAAAACGCCCCTCTGCAGAGTGGGCTGGGAGCAGCACCGGAGGACTAGGCAGCCCCAGGCCAACCCCAGATCATCTGAGCACTTGGACTTTTGTTTTGAGGACCCAGGGTGGCTCTGTGAGACCAGGGATAGAGCAGCTCCACCCCGGCCTTCCGTGAACCCTCTTCCCCGAGGCCCAAGGAACTTCCTCCCAGGTTGCTCCAAGCTGGATCTTCAGGAACAGACACTCTGGAAGGGATATGGTTCTCAGCCAAGCCCAGCACCAGGGTCAGGGCAAAGGGCACCAGAAGTAGGCCTCACTCTTGATACCTGACCAGGATGGGAAGACCAGGGGCCAGTGCAAGGCTTCCAGGTTACCCAGCCCTTAGCACCCAGGACAAACAGCTCAGGGCACAGGGTAGGTTGCCAGACCTCTGCAGATGCAAGCAGCACTGGGGCAGAGGGAGCCAGGAGTGTCCATTTGGGCAGCCGCCCTGCTGGAGCACCCATGCCTCCTTCAAAGGTCCATCAGATGGTGCCAGGCAGTGTACAGGTCTGGACTCAGCTTCTCCACCCAGCACTGCACTTGCTGGACAGCACATCCCGGGGGCCCTGCCTGGTGGCGGAGCAATGAGTCCAGCTAGCCACTCTTCCCACCTGCTCCCTGAACCGAAGCCTGCATCTTTACCGTCCAAGCCACTTGCAAGTCCTGTCAAGCATCCCCTCAACAAAGCCACATCTAGATCTCTGCTGGGTTTCACTCCAATCTGATTGAGCCCAACTGTCTTTGTTTTGGAAATTAACATTAGTGTTAGGTGACAAAATTGTAGAAAATTACATCTAAATCCTGGTAAACTCTTGCATTAAGAACTTTTTTTTTAAATAGACAAAATTGATTTTTCTGTTTGCTTTGGATTATTTTGGTTAAGCTTCTTTCCCTTTAAAAAGGACACCCCCCCCCCCGCTTTCCCCCAGGCTGGGGGTGTAGCTCAGCGGCATAGCAATTGCCTGGCAAGTTTGAGGCCCTAAGTTCGCTTCCCGGTACCAAAAAAAAAAAAAAAAGGACCCCTCCCCCTAAAAAAAAGTATTCCAGATTCATGAGCCACTGCCTCTGTCACCCTGGGCCATGGGCATCCCAGCTGTCTCCAAGGCTGTGCCAAACCACCAGGCACTGAGTGACTTCCCTCTTCCCATGGTGCTCCCACCTAGATCTGGCAACAGGTCTTGCAGTCTTGCCAAGTTCCAGGTGTGCATTTAGGAACAGGAGTTGTTCTGTGCAAAAGCAAACTGGTGCCCATGGCACCGCAGGCTCTGATTTGAGGCTTGGCTCACCGGAGCATCTGGGCAAAGACCTCCACTCATCCTCAGCCCTGAGCCCTTGGGATGGAGAAGACACAGGTGGCAGGGATAAGCCAGTCAGAGCTTCTCCAGAGATAACCGTGACGGGCTGGAAGGTGTAGCCCATCCTCAGTGACCTCAAGCCTTAGACAGGAGAGGAAAAGGAAAAGGGTCCTGACATGAACTTGCTCTGCCTGGCCGCACAGGCTGGACCACGTCCAGGTGAGGACCAGGAAGGAACAGGACTGAGAAAGCCCCCATAGCCCTGCCACCAGGGGGAGCCTGTGAGCGAGGTCCACCACTCAGCCAGTGACAGCAGGTGACTGGTCATCACACTCATCTCCATGGGTTGCCAACAAACTGGTTACTACCCCGGAAATTACACTTAACTCACTCGTCTATTTCCGGCCCTCATCCATGGATGGGTTGGTCCCCTTCCACTTGTGGGAAGGACAAGGAAGCATGCGAAATGCTGGCTGGGTGGGTTTTTTTCTTTCCTTCATAATTTCTCCTTTCATTTCTAATCTTAAAAGCCTTTATTGCTGGAGCTATAATTTGTCTGTCAGATCTAATGTCAAACAACTGCATATTTTTTAAAATAAGAAACCCAAATTTTGAAACCAAATCTTTGAAACTTGCCATGCGAGAGTCATAATCCTGACAGGACCACGTGGGTTTGGATTTGGGTCACTTTTAATTTTGCCCCTAGGGATTTTACATCTCTGAAACCCAATTGATTTCACACTCCTAAATGACAGACAGCTGGCTCCAGGCAGGAACAGGGGGCACTGCGTGATGGCATCAACACAAGTCAGAACTCCACTTTAAAAAAAAAGAAAGAATTTTCCTTTTCTCCTGTTCTCTGTTTGAAACCTTGCCCAGCATTATAATAAGATCCACTGCAGAACGCCTCACGATCTAGCTCATTACAGCCCCGCGATTTTGCCTACTATTGTTTGACGTGACAACCTGCCCTCTCACGGGGTTGAGTAATTATGGAGAGATCCCCCTTCATGAAGAACAGGTTGTGCCAGCTAGAGGGATGGGCCACTGGTATTTTTAGACTTCATTAGTGCTCTGATTTAAAATTTCACATTTTGTTTCTTGTAATTATCTTCCAATCGACTGAACAAAAATTTCAGTTGGAGCTCTATTAGTCTGCCTTCCCAAAAAGGGCATTGGGACTTTAATTTAAAACTTAACCAATTGAAAAATAAAGGTGGTGTGCAAAATGCTTTTTGATTTGCAATAGGTCAAGCGATTGTCTCTCATCTGTGACTGGAGAAGCTGCCTTGTGTGCAGTTCACATTAATGAATGTTATTTAAATGCATTGAGGACATATAGATTTTCTTAAGAAACTTACAAGATAAATCTTTCTCTAAGAACAATTTGGGGGTGGGAACAAGCTGTGGGGTTTTTTTAGATTATGTATTGAAAGCTAATTAAAAATAGATTTCGTGTGTGCAAAGCGATAAGGGAAGAAAACAGAATTAGCTCCATTTGAATCCCTTATGAAATACCTGAGATGTTTGTCTTATGGATTCAGACTTGGCTAATCCTTGGAAAGAAGTGTGGTGAGCCTCAGAACTTCATGAGATAGAGGTTTGATGTCACTGCCCCCTCCCTGAGCCAGCTGCTCCTACTCCCTGGGAACTCGGAGCGGAAGTGCAGGTCTATGGAAGTGGTGATTTCGCCCCTGGTATAACTCCAGCAAGGACTGTTGGTGGGGTGCAGTGGCTAAGTAAGTGGCCCCAGACCATGGCCTGCAGAAAGGCTGTGGTGTGTCCTGCATGTCTGGAGAAAGAGGAGCTGGGCTACACCTGCTCTGGCTTGCTTCTGGGCCCAAAAGTCAAGTGCAAGTTGATCTGAGCAGAGGTCTCTGCTGATTTAGATTTTATAGGCTTGGGTAAGGGGCCATGAGGATCCATCCACAGGGACTGGCCTCTCTGCCTTGGGGTCAGGAAGGGCCAGGTAGAGGGGGGAATTCAGCTCCTTCCTCTGGTTCTATTCCTGTCCCTGGACCTCTGCCACAGGGAACTCTGTGCATCCTCCATGGCCATGTCCTGCTTGGATGGTAGCTACCCCTTACCCTACAAGTGGGAAAGACAGGATCTTGTAAAGATGTTTTGAGGCTCAGGAAATAGCTGTGTGACTGGGGCACATCTCCTGACCTCCCTTTCCTCATCTTTAAATAAGGGTGACAATCCCACCCTGCTAGGACCTAGGGCAGGACTGAATCAGATTGTACACGTGACCATGCAGAGCACGGTGCCTGCTTATTGCCCAAACTCTTGCTGCCGCTGACCCAGGGTCTGGAGAGCTCACAGGGGGTAAAACTAGCGAAGGGGTGGAAAGCCAGGCCCCTCCTTGATGCAACAATCACAGGGCAGCCTCGGTCAAGCCACTCTGCAGGAGGTAGAACGTGTCATGTTTCAGGCAGGCAGGTTTGAGACTGTTCTCCCCAGGTATGGAGCCCGGTGCAGATCTCACTCCTCCTTGCTCTGTACCCTACATGTCCAGGGCACACTGTTCTTTGCAACCTCAATATCCTGGAAGAAGCTGAAATGCATGATAAAGCTGTTTACCTACACACGGTGAGGCCAAAGGTATGAAATGCTCTCTAAACTGCAACCACCCTCCCACAGACCTACGCTTCTTGTGTGTGGGCCCTGCAGAGGTCATGAGTCCATCTAGGAGTCACATTCAAGGCCTTACCCAGCCCCCTGATGGGCTCACAGAGCGTCCACTCTAGCCCAGGCTCCATGCTGCAGCCAGGGCAGTCTTCAAAATTCAGGCCTGGTCCTGCTGTTCCGGGTCAGATGGCTCCATCTTCCCCGACTCCTCTGGTCCCCAGCACTTGCCCCTGACGTGCTGCTTCAGCACTGGCTGCTGCCTGCCTTCAGCTCCCTCTTCGCTATCTGAAGCACAGCTGCCGGGTAGCCACACCAGCTGCGGTTCTCTCCACTCCACCGGTGTTCTGTCCCTTGAAGAGTGGCCTTTATGGGACAATTTGCCTGTTCCCATTGCCTTTCAAACTAGACTATGAGCCGTTGGGGTGGACAGGCAAGGACTCCATCCAGTCCCCACTCAGCCCCAATAGCAAGACTGGTGCCCAGCACTAAAAAATGCACAAGGAGAGTGTAATGGATGTAGGTAAAGTGCCAGACTGAGAATCAGCGAGACCCTGTGACTCTCCCCTGTGCATGGACACAGTAGTCAGTATCTGAGGGCCACAGGCATCTGGGT